AGCCTGCGGCGCTAGCTTCAGCGGCTAGCTTCGCTCCAAAGCCTGCGGCGCTAGCTTCAGCGGCTGGCTTCGTTCCAAAGCCTGCGGCGCTAGCTTCAGCGGCTGGCTTCGTTCCAAAGCCTGCGGCGCTAGCTTCAGCGGCTGGCTTCGCTCCAAAGCCTGCGGCGCTACCTTAAGCGGCTAGCTTCGTTCTAAAGCCTGCTGCGCTAGCTTAAGCGGCTAGCTTCGTTCTAAAGGCTGCTGCGCTAGCTTAAGCGGCTAGCTTCGTTCTAAAGCCTGCTGCGCTAGCTTAAGCGGCTAGCTTCGTTCTAAAGCCTGCGGCGCTAGCTTCAGCGGCTGGCTTCGTTCTAAAGCCTGCTGCGCTAGCTTAAGCGGCTGGCTTCGTTCTAAAGGCTGCTGCGCTAGCTTAAGCGGCTCGCTTCGTTCTAAAGCCTGCTGCGCTAGCTTAAGCGGCTAGCTTCGTTCTAAAGGCTGCTGCGCTAGCTTAAGCGGCTAGCTTCGTTCCAAAGCCTGCGGCGCTAGCTTGAGCGGCTAGCTTCGTTCTAAAGCCTGCGGCGCTACCTTAAGCGGCTAGCTTCGTTCTAAAGGCTGCTGCGCTAGCTTAAGCGGCTCGCTTCATTCCAAAGCCTGCGGCGCGAGCTTGAACGGCCCGCTTCATTCCAAAGCCTGCGGCGCGAGCTTGAACGGCTGGCTTCATTCCAAAGCCTGCGGTGCGAGCTTGAACGGCTGGCTTCATTCCAAAGCCTGCGGCGCTAGCTTGAACGGCTGGCTTCATTCCAAAGCCTGCGGCGCTAGCTTGAGCGGCTAGCTTCGTTCTAAAGCCTGCGGCGCTAGCTTGAGCGGCTAGCTTCGTTCTAAAGCCTGCGGCGCTAGCTTGAGCGGCTAGCTTCGTTCTAAAGCCTGCGGCGCTAGCTTGAGCGGCTAGCTTCGTTCTAAAGCCTGCGGCGCTAGCGAGCGGCTAGCTTCGTTCTAAAGCCTGCGGCGCTAGCTTGAGCGGCTAGCTTCGTTCTAAAGCCTGCGGCGCTAGCTTGAGCGGCTAGCTTCGTTCTAAAGCCTGCGGCGCTAGCTGAGCGGCTAGCTTCGTTCTAAAGCCTGCGGCGCTAGCTTGAGCGGCTAGCTTCGTTCTAAAGCCTGCGGCGCTAGCTTGAGCGGCTAGCTTCGTTCTAAAGCCTGCGGCGCTAGCTTGAGCGGCTAGCTTCGTTCTAAAGCCTGCGGCGCTAGCTTCGTTCTAAAGCCTGCGGCGCGAACCTGCGCCTTGAGTGACGAACTTGATAATAATGTCCCTACACGGAAATCTACTCCGAAACGCACTTTCCGAGCAAAAAGCAAAACAACCACGATATCCGAGGATCGAACCTCCGATGGTTAGATTAGCACGGCGAAGCGCTTACCACTACACCATGCAATGCTTGGCAGCACGTGCCAAACACCCGTTTTATGCCTCAAGAGAAGTGCCCGGGGCAGGGGAAGGAAAGGCATCGAGAGGCAGATCCAAAGAGACGACCAAACTCGCGAGTGCAACTGGCAAGAATGAGGAAATTTGTATTTTTTCACATTATGCAAATTAGCCCTACCGCACCCCCAAAAATCAATAAAACCGGCTTTAATTTTGTAAACTTGTATTTTATCGGGATTCTGAAAGCGCCATCGGAAAGAGGAGGGTCGATTCCCCCGGGTGACGGAGAATTAGGGCATTTTGGACACGGGAAGGCCCTCAAATCGGGCCTCGAAAGTGACATCCACACACACACACACACACAGAGATACACTCCAAAATTATATAAGGTAGGATTTTGTCGATTTTTATTCCTATTAAGCATTAGACAAATCAAGCTTCGATCTCAAACAAATTGTTCCACTAATGACGGGCTTATTTTTGCATGTTCAATCTAAAAAATTCGGCAATTCTCAAGAATCTCTTCCCGCCCGTCTCAAAAAGCCTCAAAATCAGGGTTTTTCACCGATGGACCGGAATCGGTAAGGATCCGGATCGGGGCTGGATCCGGATCCGGATCGGATCCGCAGTAGGATCCGGATCCAGATCCAGATCCGGATCCGCTCGGATCCGGATCCAATGCGGATCCGAGGAAAAAAGGGACCGGAAGTAATATTCTCGGTTCTGATGCTGATTCGGTCATGTTAATCGCAAAAATACATAGCCCAGAGGCAGAACTGATCTTTGCATATAAGAATTAGCACTTAACTCGGTTGCATGATCCATTTCCTTGGATCCAGTCCGATCCGAAAATGACCAACCCTGCTCAAAATCGAGAATCCAGACCTGATATTCCCAAATAACCGCCGCTAGCTATCCCTTAACCTGTTTTTTCTAATCATCCAAACTTCCAAAACCATGCCGCCCATTGTCTCCCCCCCCCCGTTGCGCGCACTAGGGGTCACCGGATAGAATGGACCCAGGCTCCGAATATTCCCACAGTGGCCCGGGGCCCACCTGCCCCCCGTTGGGCCCTAATTTGAGGCCTCCCCCCAAACAGTGTACATTTGGGGAGAGAGCGATCGAGAATTATTCATCACGACCTGTCCATTCCCGGGGTCCCGACCATTGGCCCAGTCACTCATAATTGCCCTAAACACGCCCCCACCGTATTGTCGTGCCACTGAATTTTTGAGTTGGGTAGGGTAGAGGGGCAATTAGCGCATTTAGGCGAGCAACGGAAAGAGGTGATTAATGTGTGGATATCAAAATTGTTGAGCTGATGCTGAGGATGACGCAGCAGCCTTCTGGTATCTTTTAGGATGTCAACCGAGTTTTTCGACAAAAATTCTGCCTTCCACGGTCCTTTAAAACCAGGGCGGAGATCCTTTGACGTTTTTTGCATTACACTACGATGTACATCCACACTCCCATCTTTACGAAAAAATCTGCTCTTATCGCTAGTGTTACTACACAACGCTCCAATAGACACACTGGAAAAATGGTACTGTAATGGAGATCTAATTTTCAGAAGCCGATTATTCGAAATTTTTAGTATTGCAGGTTTATTCCCCTTCAATCTGTTTACGATTTTCGAAATGATCACGTCAAGATGGTATCCGAAACACTCTGGTAGTGAAAGCGCCCGGAACCGACAACACTACCGCTCCAAATGACACCCACCAGATACCGTAGCCTTAGCGTCTTATTTCGCGAAAAATCATTCGTTCATTGGGTTATCATTGTCCTTCAGGGTTCAGAATTTTTAGGTGTTTGGACAAATCGTCTCGACCACTCGCTCAAACGTACATACCGTAGTGTAGCGTACTAGCATCGTAGTCAAAAAATTTTCGTTCACGAGTCCAAAAATTTTACAAAAATGGCTTTGTCGTGATTTTGGACGTCAGCTTAAACGGCACCGTTTATTACGAAGTAGGTTATTTATTACTTTTGAATTCACATAGTTCCCTTGACCAGTCCTTTAAACTCAATTAAACCCAACTCCAAACGACAGTTCGCATCAAGTTCAGCTTAGATTGTGAAAATAAGGCCTTCGCAATGGCTTTAAAACCGACTACGCTCCACTCCAAACGACACCCCGCAACAATGTCAATGGCGTCGACATTTAATCAGGCCGATTAGTTCTCAACGTTGGCCAGAATGGGTGTCGGTATACCCCCGGGGGTGCGAAAGGGCGCGACATATGGAGGAATTGACGCAATTAGTATGAGTGTGTACCCCTTCGGGCTGGGTGGGTGGAAGGCTATGGCGGCACAAATGTACCCCCCAAGGCAGGCAGATATTGCCTAGGATTTCCTAGAGGGACCGCCACACACCTGCCATACACAATGGAATGGACACTCTCTGATTGTAGCCAAAGGGCACCGATTAAGTAGCAAAAGTGCCTCCAAGCGTACTATACGATAAGCGCAGGAAAAGAGGGATCTTGGAAAAAGGGGCATGCGCAACGGGCATGCTAGCATGCTAGCAGAGACAATTGTGGAAAACTTGCGAAAGCGAGAGAAAGCTAGAGAATGCGGGAGAAATCGAGAGAGCGAGAGAGAGACAGAGAGAAAAAGAGAGACATAGAGACAAAGGGAGAGACAGAGAGAGCGAGAGAGAGCGACAGGGAGAGAGCCAGAGAGGGAGAGAGGGAGAGAGAGAGACCGATCTATGTCGTGTCTCTGCCAGAAACTACCATTTATTAAACCCCAAATCGTCCATGAACAGCACAGTAATTTGCAAGCATTCTGAAGAAACTCTAGGGATATCGAGCAGCAAATATATCATAGATACAGCACGCAAATATCGATCGATAAAGCACAATTGAAATAGTAAAGTGAAGACAGCCAACAATCCTTCAGATTAGATCAAGTCGTTTGTAGTCTGTAGATCGCATTGGGAAAGTAGAGAGTCCCATTCCTAATAAATAAATTTTTAATACTTGCGTAAAATCTTGTAAAATTCAAATCAGAGTTCTCTGTTTTTAAATCTGCCTTAAATTTGTATAATTAATCTTTAAAAACTCACATTACTAAACCCGGCATTCCCCTGGAAAGCATTTGTTGGATTTGTAGGATCGGAGCCATCGGTATTTGCTAAAATAGCATTTTAACTTCAAGAATCTGGTAAGATCGTAATTCCAAAAATCAATCGATACCTTTGGGGCGGAAGAGATCCCCACTCAACGATAATAAGTCGAACGGGTCGTGTTTTGGAATCGTCTTAGAAAGTGGGGGCTTTTGAGTGAAATTCTCCGGGGGCGGCGTCAATTTCGGCACGTTTTGGGCTTGATATAGCGGTGGGAGGGGCCCGAAGTTTGATAGGTCGTCCTGAAAGAGTACAAACTTTTGTTTTATCTCTCTTTTCTTTCACACTGTCGCTCTATCTCTCTCGCTCGTTCTCTTTCTGTCTCTCTCGTTCTCTCGCTATTTGGCTTTCTGCCTGTGTTCTTTATCTCCCTCCCTCTCATGCTCTCTCTCTCTCTCTCTCTCTCTCTCTCTCTCTCTCTCTCGCTCCCTCTCCCTCGTTTTAAAAGCCAAGCAGGAAACTTACAACTCGCAACCCCTCCAGCGCGTCCATCCCAATTTCAGCTTCTCCAACCAGCGGACTATCGGGTCGCTCCTCATCGTCGGCAAGCCGCTAAAATAATCCAAATTTTCTATCTCCAGAGAATCGCTGCTAGCTTGCCCTTATCCGGTTTTTTGAAACTCTTACCCGTCTATCCGTCACAATCCTCTCCTCACTGGGTGATTCTCCTCCAAATAAATATCGTAAGCTCGTCTCGTCGCGGTCGTTGAATTGCATCAAACTGGAAAATTCAAGTTTGTTCCTCAACGATCTCTGCTAGCCTGCCCTGAATTCTATTTTCTAAATGAACTCAGCTAGCTTTTGCCTCGTTTACACAAAAAAACGTACTCCGGTTGCTCGGCCTCAACAGCCTTCTGCTGCACCTCCTCTTCCCGCTCTTTTTCGAAACTTTCTTGCCGAGCCTTTTGAGCAGCTTTTCTTGAGGGCTCGATCAGTTCCTGAAATCAAAAGATGGTTTGTACTCTCTCTCTCTCTCTCTCTCTCTCCTCTCTCTCTCTCTCCCCCCCCCCCCCCCCCCCCTCCCCCTCTCTCTCTCTCTCTCTCTCTCTCCTCTTCTCTCTCTCTCTCTCGCTACCCTTCACTCACCGTCAATATCTCAAAATCATAGTGATCATAAACGGAAAGATTCTTGGCCAGCGTTGCATAGATTGTTCCAGTTTTTTGGTAGTATGTCGTGAGGAGCTCGAGGTATCTAAAACATCCTTAATTTATCTGGTTTTTCAAAGCCTACCGTCCTAACAAATGCGACAGTAGATGAGATCGGCTAGCCGAGAGGAGGTCGACCTAAAAAATTTGGTTTTACGAAATTGAAGGTAATTTATACTACTGGACGATAGCCTCGACAATTATACCTTTTGTAACGTATCCTCCTTCAACCGGTCCAGCCGCTCTTTATTCAATCTGACCGTCGCCTGTACTTCTCGAAAACGATCCATCTGCCGGAAATTGGAGGGATCAAGCTGAAAATTATAAAATTAGCGTAGAATCCGTGATTTTGTAAAAAAACCAGTAGCGTTTCTGGCTAAAACTAACGTAGATTCCCTAGGAATCGACCAGTCCTCAAAATTTTACCTCCTCGCTCTCCTGCTTCATCCACAACAAACTGCCTCGATATTCTGTCTTCGCTCGTTCAGCCGCTTCTACCGTCTGCCCACAATCGAATATGGCTCTTTCGTTGAAGACACAGATTTCTTCATAAAATCTACAAATTTGCATGAAACTGAAAGTATTATCATACCGTAATAGGGGTTGAGAAATGGCTGCTCTTTGATGGGAAGCGTATAGGAAGGCTCGGCCTACGGCTATCATTACCTAAAAAAAAATTTTGCGGATAGGGTGAGAGAGAGAGAAGGAGAGAAAAGTAGAGAGAGTGCGTGAGAGAGAGAGAGAGTAAGAAATCCCTTACCTTCTTGGTCTCCTCCCTCCGTTGCTCCTTCCCTCGATCTTTCAAATATTTCCCAACCCCATTCTCACTTTGAGCCGCGTCTAAATTCTACTATTAATTGTTCAAAAACTTTTTTTACCTAGTAAAAACCCATGGTAATTATTTGAGGCCTCGAGCAGCTGATCGCTGGTCCTTTTGATCGAATTGAACAGCGTCACTTGTGAATCGAAATCGGCATCTGATGCCGTGAGTAGCTCGTCTTCCTGAAGAAAATAGTTAACAAGGTTAAGCCATTAAGGCGATGAGAATAAGATGAGGGGGGAGGTTTTTTTTTTGTTTATTTTAAAGGGGATTTTCCACGGCAAGCTAGCAGAGGCCATTGAGGAATGGTTTTTTCTCTCACCTTCTTCCCCATTTTATTTCGAAACATCTGCTTGGCCGTCCAGTAGTGTCGTTTCAATTTGGTAACGGTATTCTCATCGAAACGGTCGAGAAATCGATCAAAGTTCATCCCACTGAAATACCGAATTTTTATATGTCCAGTTTAATCGATAGTTCTAGTAAATTAAGTATTTATCGTACACCTACCCGAGTAATTTTTTGAACCACATTTGCAAATTTGAAATATTATTGAAGTATTAACTAGAGCTTGCCAGTATCGTAATGGAATTTTGGACCTGAAGCCCGAGGGCCAGCCTATTTTTTTTGTCCGATCGAACTGGGCTAACGGGAGATTAGGATTAACCAATGTTTTGGGCGCAAAAACTGGTTCATAGCTCGTGCTCCGAGCATCAACGGCTGATTTCAGCTTTGCAGGCAACAGAGAAAATTTGAGAAAAAGCAGAAAATTAAAAACTTAAAATCGGCATCTGAACATTAATTCGAAATTTTTAAGAAAAACTACGGATTTTGTATACGAATTTCGCAAAATTAAGATTGATTTTCAGGCCTTGCAACAAATTTTCAAGTGATTTTTAAAAAGGTATGAGAGTGCAAGATGCAAATTACAGTCATTACAGCATCTTGGAATTTTGACTCAAAAATTTGCAAAGTATTTGGCAGAAAATTATGAATCTAAACAAATCAATAAATTTTTAACTTAAGGTTTAAGACTATCCAAATTCTGGCGCCTTCAAAGTTAGCGTAATTCGTAGCTTCTAAAAACCCGGAAAAACTGTACCTCGTTCCCTGCTCATACTGTCGATAGGCCATCGCTTCGAGTATCTGAAAGTGGTGCATCGTAATTTGGTGTACATCGGAAAAGCAGAAATTTTCGATACTAATTAAAGCAAAAGCCCCCGGCCCGGGAAAATCGAAAGCGGATACTAGATGAGGGCGAAGGATGGGCCAAGCTGGAATGGGGGCCCTGTCGAGAGAGGGCCAGAATACAGAGGGTTTAGAGAAAGAGAGGAAAAGAGAGGCCCAGGGCCCCCGGCGGGCCCTGGGGCGCATTTTAGCAAACAGGAGACGGGCCCTGGGCGGGGTGAAGCCCTATTGGAGAAGCCTGGAAGAGCCGGGGCTAGGGGTAATTTAGACGGGAACGGGCTCTTGGAAAAGAACAGAAAAAGTGGGAGCTCTTGCTCGGAAGGGAGAAGATAATGGAGGCTCTTTTTGAAAACGTCAAAAGCGAAGAATTGGGCTCTTTAGGTAAAAACGGAATTTGGAGTGTATTGTACATGGTACCGTACTTTTCGAAACTTTGTATCTTCTGCCTTCATCTGCCTTTAAAAAAAATCCAAATTTCAAGGAGAAATAGCGGAAAGCCTTGCGGAGAGCAGGCTAGCAGAGATTCTCTAGGAATCGGTGGGCAGACTAGCAGAGATTATTTGCGGATGATGCACCGGAAGCTATACTTTAGCGCTGATAGGGCTAGCTAGCAGAGAACTTTGCGGAAATGAGCAGAACCAAGAGAGAGAGATCGAGAGAGAGAGAGATCGAGAGAGAACGAGAGAGAGAAACAGTTTCTGCGTCCCAATCCCTTTAAGAGTTCACTTGCCCTCTCAATTTCACCCCTTCCCTCCCGATCAGGGTCCCTATTTGATGGTGTGAAAAGGGGGCCCCAGCAAATATGATGTTGGGTCCTGAAAAGGAGTCAATTCCCCTCGGTGGTGAGTCAACCCTTCGAAAAATCAGGTCCGGGCCCTGCCCACGTCTTCGCGTGGGCCCCCCCCTTCCTTTTTGGGGTGTCTTTTCTGGTTCTACTCTCGGAGCCATTGATGGTAGCTAGTCATTCTAAACACGTTAACCTTGGTTTTGGAAACATCTACACTTGATGCTACTGTAGAAGCTTTGTGTTTTCGATGGATTAAATGCTTGTTTTAGAATTTAAAGGGACCGGCAAGTCATGACTATGGATTGACCCCTCCCCCCGATCGCTATTTCTGGATGATTCCAAATTTCTGGGACCCTATTGCACGCCAGTTTTCCCAAAATATCTCTGCCAGCCTGTCCCCCGGAGCTACGTTTGAAAATCTTTACGCATTAATGATATAGAAAGTCCATGGCGTATCAAATATCCTCCATAGGCTCACCCAAATCAAATCGTCAAATCCCATCCGAACTCTTAAAAGGCGAGAGAGAAAAGAGAGAAAGAGCGAGAGAGAGAGAGAGAGGGAGAGAGAGAGAAGGCAGGATGTTTTGGTAGTTGAAATGGGCTCTTTGTGAAGGAGGGGAGGACCGTTCCGTACGGTTCTCCTTCCCTCAACCGGCAGCTGGATTCTGGGAATCAGTGTTACACACAATTTACTTTTTACACATCAGTATTCTGTTTTCCAGGCTATTGAATTGTTTGGTATTATTTGAAAGGTTTCACTGCGCTAGATAACTTGAACAAAAAACCTAAATATTTTTACGGGGTTTTTGAGACGCTCTTAAGATTTTACGGCTTTGACGCGTGAATTTAGCACTTGCCAGGCCCTTTAAAGTCGCCAACAGCTATATTTAAGTTTGATCTACCAATTATTAATGCGCCAAAAATTATTTTTCCATCTTTCCATGAGTTTGGCGTGGAAAAAATCATGTGTGATTTTTTGCGTTTTTTTTCCTTTCCGAATACCCTACCCCTTTGACTCCTCCCTATAAAACACTATATTCATAAGCACCGGCGCGTGCCGGCCATAATCACCGCTAGCTACCCCATCGAATTGCGCAAGTCGCGCCCGGGCCACTCATAAAAGTTTGGGGGCCCCACCGGATTAGGTCCAAGGGCTTGGAGATTAAGGAGTATCCCCCTCGGCGGGGTACAGTCACTACCCCGAAAAGTCACTACCCCGAAATCACTCCCCGAATCACTACCCCGAAAAGTCACTACACTGAAACACTACCCCGAACATTACCCCGAAAAGTCATTACCCCGAAAAGTCACTACCCCGAAATAATTTGCATCATTTTCATAGGAAAACCGCATGAAAACTAGATTTTTCCGGGAAAAACAATGCTATCATTTTTCGGGGTAGTGACTTTCGGGGTAGTGACTTTCGGGTAGTGACTTTCGGGTAATGACTTTCGGGGTAGTGACTTTTCGGGGCAGTGACTTTCGGGGTAGTGACTTTCGGGGTAGTGACTTTTCGGGGTAGTTACCGGACGCCCCCCTCGGCCAGTCTAAAAGGTGACCTTGCGGGTTTACGGATCTTTTTAGGGGATCCGGGGTGCAATGGCCTCTAGCCATAACGAGCACCACACTCAGCTCCGAGCACCCCTCTCCTCGAAACTTTGCCCACGCCACTAATCCGGTTGGATACTATCCACACCTGGGGGTGTAAAGAGGAGCCAGCGGAATCCTAAGTTTTCGCAAGCCATTTCTTCAAATGGTGTTTGCGAGCTGGCCATGTTTTTAGTTTATCTCACTCTCGCTTCCTCACGTTCGTTGGTTTTCTCGTGCTCACTCTCTAGCTTTCTTTAGTTAACTTGTGCTCATTCGCTCGTTTTCTTTGGGTTTATCGGCGCTCACTCTCTCGCTCGCTTTCGTTAGGTTTCTCGGGCTCACCCTCTTATTTTCTTTAGTTTTAACGTCATCGTTATCTTACGTACTGGGGGTATCTCGTGCTCACGACTTGGCTTTCTTTTAGCTTTCTCGTGCTCCCGATTAGATGATAGAGTTTTCTTTAGATTTCTCGTCTCCCCTCTTATTTTCTTTGGTTTTTCGTCCTCAATATCTTGCGTGCTTGCTATCTCGTGCTCAAGTTTCTTTGGGTTTCTGGGGCTCACTCTTTCGCTTTCTTTGGTTTCTTGTGTTCATGTACTTGGTTTATTTAGTTTTATGGTTTACTACATTACAATTATATTAACTTCATTTATCATTCATGACCAATTTGTAATTCAGCAAAAAATCGCCCGTCCGTCCTGTGCGTATCCAAATTTCTTCGTTTTTCGGTGTGACCGGCGAAAGCCGTGGGATATGACTGGTATCGTGTTTTGTCTACACCCTAGCGGCGCAGATCCCCGCGACCGTTTTGTTGTGCAAAGGTTTTTTGGTTCTGCGTCAGCGGCAATGGTCGATTTTTTTTTAGCTTTTTAGGGAAATTTCTGGAAAACTTTTTCTTAAAAAAACTTTCCAAGGGTTACAGATTCTAGGAAACGGCCGTATTTACGATCGTTTATCTTACCGTAGTTGGAACTCGTTGAAATAGCGTCAAGAGACGTAAAAGATTATGCGATGGAAAGTTAGCCGCGCGTTGCGTGTCGCGGCGCTGAGCCGCGAATACTAATTTCCTAGCTAACCAATCCACCCAAGCCACTTCCTTCCCTCCCTGGCACGTGCCCGGGGTCTGTTTTGGCTTAAAGCATCACTCTTCAAATGTGCTTATCACCGATTCTTTCTCTGTCTTTTCAACCCCCATGAAAAAGCTTCATCTCCTTCCCCTCTGTGGCCTGTCTTCTAATCGATCCCATTTCCTGCCCTTCCTCCGGAGATCGAACGACCCGATACGAGGGGCAGCTATTGACGATTTGGAGCTTTTTATCTACTTTTGAGCAATTTATCATAACTGTCTTTTTATAGTAATTATTTTTTACAGTATTAGATTTTACTGTCGTTTTTAGCGTTCTTTGGCCGCTCTTGTAGTCATCAAATCCACTTCCGGTTATCCTCTTTTTTGTCGAATACGCTTGAAAACCCGATTTTCCGCTCGTTTCTTGCTAAGTCAGATTCGTTTATAGGTGTAGCTCGTAGTGATTGTACGATTTTAACCTATCGTAACCAGTGCTGTATGTAGTTACGATATTCTTCTACAGGCGAGTGGATCCATGAAAATCTAATTTTGTGCCTTTGATTTTACCTTATTTTTTTTGTATTTGTGATTTCTGAGATTTACTATCGACGGTAGCTACGTACATAAGCCTATGCGAAGACAAGTTAAGTAAGCTCACGCCTGTAAGCCCAGGTCTGTACCCATCATATTAGTACGTGAAATACAAAAATTGTCGACACTTCCCTGGTGCCCACTGGCCATCCTGACCTTCCCCCTAAATTCCTTCCCTTTCTCATTCCGCCTCATTCCCAAATGACTCATCTCCCCCGGCGGGCATCGCCGGGGGGATGGGGCTCTAATTGTGTGGAAGAATTGGGGGAGAAGGCATCGGATTTTGCATGTTTTTCTGATACCTAGCTGAGATAGCCTGCGCCTGCCATTAATGCTCCAAGCCATCTTCGAAATTTTTCATTTTGTGTATTTTTATTTTATCAGATGTTGGTATATTGATACTTGCTCATTCGGGCTGCTTTTTTCAATGATCTGTTTTGTCATCAATACGTCCTATTTTCGGAACTTTAATTTTTTGTGTTTTCACCGATATCTCGAATATTTTCAAAGTATGCCCTTCCTCGCCCCTTTAAACATTTAAACTGGATTTTTAGGAATGCGATGGGGGCTCGGCCTTATTTGGTTGTATCTAACCGTGTATTGTAGCCCCAGAGAATCCAATGAATTGATTGTAAGTTTTTATCCCTAGAAAAGCTCAAAATCTGTTTAGGAAGACCCGGATGCCATTCAAAATTTGCAATTTTCGACATTGGAGCCGAAAAGCCGATTCCCGAATAGCCGGTTGAGATGTGAGTTGTTTTCTGGCTTTCGGTTTTCCGTTTAAACGCGTTGCCGCTGCGTCGGGTATGCACTACGGGACAGTGTCGCAACGGGTTCAAAGTTTTAAAACAGCTAAACTAAAAAAATTTTAAGTCGATTCGAACAGCCCTGGAGGTACGGTATGTTGCCCTATCGTAATGTCCAAAAATTCCCTACCGTATCAAATTGTTGTAAAGTGCTGTTACCGTATCCCATTGTTTTTGAATTGTTAAACTAGTTAAATCAGGTAAAACGGGAAGTTTTCTCAAAATTACGATTTTTGAGGAATGACGGGATTTTAGTGCTATCAAAGATTCGTCAGGAATTCTGCGCGATAGCGGAGCCTTTAGGAATTGCAGGGCAACCTAGCAAAGAGCTTTTAGGAATTTTAGAATAACTTGCAAAGATGCCTTAAGATTTATCGGGAGGCTAGCAGTAATCTTTCAGAGCCAGCTAGCAGAGAGCATTTGGGAACTTCAGGCAAACTAGCGGAATAGTCTATGTTTTCAGGGGCCTCAAGAATCAGAGAGAGGGACTTTGAGCGAGAGAGACAAAAAGATACAGAAAGAGAGAGACTGAGAGAGAGACTGAGCGAGAGTGAGAGAGTGATAGGAATTTTAAGGGAATCTAGCAGCGATTCTTTGCGCGCAGGACTTCGGACATAAATAGATTCTGCTTGTTGCGTTCAGCTGTTTCACTCTTCTTCTACCCCATGACTCAACTAAAAAATCGGATCCCCCGATTAGACGGGTCCGTTGCACCCCTTTCAGGCTTCATTTCGGAAATTGGCCGTCGGGCCCTCGGCCGTCGGTCCCCTAAATATTTGTGTAGATCTTATTATTGCATGCCGTGGGCCTGGGCATGCACACGTGCTGCTATGTGGTCCTCCCGGATGGAGTAGACGAAATTTGCAACATATCAATCTCTCTCGCTCGCTCTCTCGCTCTCGCAGTCTGCCTCTCACTCTCTCTCTCTCTCTCTCTCTCTCTCTCTCTCTCTCTCTCTCTCTGTCTCTTTCTCCCTCGCGCAGTAAAATTAATATGAGCTGAATAACTAGTGCTGATGCTGTAAATCCTGAATGATCTCTGCTATCTTCGCAACATCGAAAAAATCTCTGCTAGCTTGCTCTATTTCCTAAAGGATCTCAGCCAGCTTTTTATTGGTTTTCTGGACCCCTTCAAACAATTTTCTCAACCTCAAAAAGTTGCGTTTACTCCTATTTCGCTACCCAACTCACTGCCGTCCATAGTTCCGCAACGGAAGCTGGAAGGAAATGGAATTTGACGAAATCGGGAAGGGCCGGCACTACGTCGAGAATGAAATTCTTTCTTGGGTCTTATTTTTGTCTGCTTAGGGCTCGAAACTGCTAATAATAGAGCCGGTTACGGTAGCTTTTGTGGTTACGGTAATTCAGTTGTAAATTAGCTGGAAAACGGCTTCTATGAGTCTATTTTGTCAAGCGTAATTTTCGCCGGGACAATATATTAGCGGGTGCGGGGATTATGGAGAGAGAGAGAGAGAGAGAGAGAGAGAGCGAGAGAGAGCGTGGGGGTGTCTGCGTTTTGATAGGGTTTGTGTGTGTGTCTGCTTGAGTGACTGACTGACGCACCCCTCACGGCTTCAAGCTTTTTATGGGCTTTTGCCCTCCTTGGCGCCTGCCTTGTGATGGCTAGAAATTTGGCACCTTTGCAGGTCGAAATTTTTAGGAACCGTGTTCTTTTCGATCTCTCTCTCTCTCTCGCTCTCTCTCGCTCTCTCTTTCTCTCCTCTTTCTCTCTCTCTCTCTTTCTCACTCTCTCGCTCTCGTTTTCTTTCGTTTTCCAAGAATCCATTTTCCTCAGCGCTCGCGGCCTGTGGGCCCTAAATAATGGCCCCCTCGGCCGGGTACCTACCGTATCCTACCGTACTGCTCCTCTTCGTCTCCGTCCTCTGTATCCTCGCGTACACCACCCATGCCAGTGTCCAGTGGAAGTTGCCGCAGTGTCGCCTTGGCGTCATCAATTGCAGTAAATAAAAGAAACGAAAAAAATGGGGTTTAAGAATTAGAATAAAACGTCCATGAAAAACCCTGTGTAATCCTTACCGTATCCCTGGACTACCGTAATTTTCAAATATTTTTTAGCATGTTCCGGCTCAAAAAACAGCTACTCCAAAAGCGGCATGCGGCCCGAGATCTCGCACTATGAATATTTGCAAAAAATGTACCAGGTGGGACCCAAAGCGAAACTAAAATTCAAAAAATAAGAAATACAAAAATTTCATGTTTTCCAGAATTGCACTCACGTCTACAACAATGTCGAAATTGTCAATTATGACGAGGATCGGCCGATCGATTTTTTGGATGATATCGTCCAGGTTCGAGCTGAACAATTTAGATTTATGATTTTCTGTTTACTGTAACCCAAGTTGCACAAAAAAGCCATCGTTTTAAAAGGCCATTGAAGGCAGGAAAGTCCAATTTTTAATTTTCAGGATAGATTTTTCGTTTTTTGAAGCTGTTGAACGGTTTTCGGACCCATTGAAGTAAAAAATCCACGATAAATTTCAGGTGAAAGGTTACATCCTCATCTACAACAACCAGAACATGAGCAGCATCAGCATGAAGAAGCTGCAGATCATTTGGGGAGACTCGCTGCATAGGAATGAGTATGCTATCGAGGTATCGTGCTCTCTCTCTTCTCTCTCTTCACTCGCTCTCTCTTTCTCTCTCTTCTCCTTCTCTCTCTCTCTCTCTCTCTCTCTCTCGTTGTTATACCATTAAAATTCTCTCATTCCAGATCATCCACAACGCCAAGCTGCAACTCATCCAATTGCCCTCACTTCGAGCAGTGATGCAAGGGAGTGTGGCGATTGCAGAGAATCCGAGGTCTTGCTATGCAAATAATACGAACTGGGGAGAGGTACGGTATTTTGTAGAGCTCAAGTTCCCTCTTGCTCTCACGCTCTTGCTCATACATCATTTTCTAGGTCCTCGACCCCGTCCTCCAACCCGATGGTACCTCCCGGATACAAATCAAAAACAATGGTCAAGCCTGCCCGAAAGGCCGACGATTTGTATGTGACCCAACCTGTGAATCTGGATGCTTTGGGAGAGGAGCCGAGAATTGTCAACAAAGTTGGTTTCATTTAAACTTTGTGAACTTTTCTGTCTGTGGTCTATCCTTGTGATTAAATTTCAGTGGTCCGTTCGAAGTGCACACCGGCCTGTAAGAAAGATGCAAATGCTTGTTACCCGGAGGTGGATCCGGTCACGAATGGTAGGTAGAAAGTGAGGGAGAGACAGAGGGAGAGACAGAGAGAGAGAGAGAGAGAGAGAGAGAGAGAATGAGGGAGATAGAGACAGACAGCAGAGAGGGAGAATAGATCCAGAGCTATAATTTTACCAATTTCCAGTAACCAACTACGAGTGCTGTGATTCTGAATGTGCAGGCGGCTGCCGCGGCCCCACCCCATCGGATTGCTATGTAAATTTCGGACCCCGGAAATTCATAATATTTTTTAAGAGCTGCAAGCACTACCAGGATGAGGAGACGAGACGATGTGTCGAATTCTGTTCACCGCTTTATCGGTAATTTTTCAGAAAATTTTGGTTTAAAGGGGGAGCGACACTGGAGCTGTCATTTGGAACGTAGTGTTTTTGCAAACGTTAGACGACGGTAGCTCCTCTAAACGCTTTAATAACTTTCGCCAGTTGTAGATGTTCATCTTCGTACTTTCAGACTCAACCCGGCGACGAAAACTCGCTACCGTGACCCGAACGGGAAATACACGCATGATAGGAGTTGCGTGGCAAAGTGCCCAGGTATGATTTTGGTTTTAAAGGGGCCGCGAAGTGGTTGAACTGCTTGAAAAAGTGGGCAGAGCGGCCATTAATCGCCTATCGCTTCTAAATTTCATGATTTTAGAGGGCACTCTAATCGAAGGAGCATATTGCGTACTTCGATGCAGCGAGGGATACTTCTACGATGCGAGGGAGAACACGAAGGAGTGTCAACCATGCAAGGGATTGTGTCCGAAATGTGGGTCTTAGAGAGAGAGAGAGAGAGAGAGAGAGAGAGAGAGAGAGAGAGAGAAAGGGAGAAAGAATGAGAGAGATATCCCGAATCTTTGAACTCTTCCAGCTTGTCGCCTCGAAGAGATCATCGACGCCTACAACATTGAAGGACTCCAGAATTGCACCGAAATCGACGGGTTTATCCGATTACGCACGCATACGTTCAAGTCGCACAAAGGGTACGTTTTATAGGTAAAAATTTGAAGTCAAAACCATGGTAAAAAATTTTTGGCAAAAGGATAGAGGCAAATATTTTTTAGCACGAACAGCACCACCGTGCCGGCGCTACGACCGGAGAAGTTGAACTACCTGAAGACGGTGCGCCAGATTACTCAGGTAAGTACATGAGAGCAGACGGCTCTAGGAATCCTTCGAAATCATCGACGTTTTTTGTAGTTTGTCGACATTGCCGGCGTAGACCTGAGAAATCTAAGCTTTCTGGAAAACGTGGAGGTGATCGAGGGGCGAGAGCTGTCTGAGTAAGTTGAGGCAATGGGAGAATTTTTATTAATTCTTTCAGTAAAAATTCGCTGTGATCGTGTCGAATAACCCGCACGTCGAGTCGTTCAACTGGCGGAAATTGGATGAGGTCAGGGTTTTATCAATTACGCTATGTAATGCTTGTTAGCTGGAGCGCCAAGTGGGCGATCGTCCTCTCGAGAGTAAGCAATTACGCGATGAATTAGGCTATCATGCGCTTTAGCCTTTAAAATTTTGGAATTTCATGATTGATTTCGTACAACTAACCGATTACGCTACGTATTTACCATTCATACGGCCGATATTTCGGGTTGTACCGATTACGCTATGCATTTAGCTTCCTCGGGGCTTTAAAGACCAAATTTTTGTGTAAGTAGGTGGTGTAGCTGAACACAACGCTACTTAGCTGCGTATCATTGCGTAGCGTAACGTAAGTAAGTAGCTCTACGTAACATAGCCTATCGTAGAAAAATGTAAATGAGTCAATAACGTTAGTTATATCTGATCTCGCGTTGTTTTTAAGCCTACGAGGATCTAATTTTTTATCTATTTTGAGTCGATGAATGAATATTGCAATAATCATTAAGGTAATACTATCTCTCTTTTCTATGTTTAAGCGATTACGCGGCGCCCCAATTCAGATCCGCCGTGGTGACGTCGTCGTCAGCCAGAACCACTTTCTCTGCTACCTCTCCAACACAACATTCCGAGGGATCACAGCAGCAAGTGTTGCTGTGAAAGGTGTGTACGACCGATGCGGTGAGTTGACATTTCATGCCCTTCCTTTGCAGACACCGGATACATGGCAGTGCCGGCGAATTGCGAGTCAAGTAGGGACAAGTGTTGCGCATGAAAAACCACTTTTTTATTTTTATTTTTGCACTTACGTTCTGAAATGGCACGATTTTTTGTTATTAATTTTTTTTTGAAAGTCTTGGGTTTTACTAACATTTTTTCGGGTCTTGTTAGTGCGCGTTTCGGGAAATCGCTCTCAAAGAATTTCTGCTAGCTTGCCCATATTTTTGATCAGCATTGGAAGATGGAATTGAAGAAAAAAAGGCCTCGAATGATCTCTGCTAGCCTGCCTTAAAAATGAGACGTCTATTAGTGTGCGACTGGTGAAAAAATAAGCTTCTAAAAATTTGTGCTAGTCTCCTCGCAGTGCGCTTCAAAATTTCGTAAAGGATCTATGCGAGCTGGATATTGGCTATTTTTAGTGGGGCAATTAGCATGAAATACCTCAAAGACCTGCTGCAATTTTCCTATCATGTACGCACCTGAATTCGCATCCCAAAGGGTCTCTGCTAGCCCACCCGACGTCCCAATTAACAGCACAAAGTCGCACTCAGACCGGAGCAAATTCCAACCCAAGAAAACCCGCGTTTTAGCAAACAAATGCGACGATAACTGTGACGCGGAATTCGGATGCTGGGGAAAAGGGCCGACGCAGTGCCGGAAATGCAAAAACTGGGATCAGGAGGGGAGATGCGTCAAAAAGTGTTCGGAGAATGGGTATGTACTACGAGGAATAAAAATGGATTTTTGTTTTTGTTTGTGTGTTTTCGCATTCTGTAGCGTTGTCGAGATCTAGCCTATGGTAGGGGTCGATTCTTGGGGCTTTCGTCGATTTGAAGGGCCGTCAAGATTTAACGTGGATCTGTCAATTTTCTATGGTTCCTACTGTAGAAAATCCGCCCTTTAGCTTCCGAGCCGTCGAGAAAACGGACAAGCAGGGCAATCTGAAGCGAGTTTGCGAGAAGTGCGCCCCACAGTGTCTGCAATGTTCTGGGCCCGGCGAGGAGGACTGCAGATCTTGCCGGAATGTTGGATTGGTAAGCGGTTCGAGATTTTTGGATTTTCTGGCTTGCCGAGGCCTTTAAAGGAGCATGCACGGAAAACCTGCAAAAATTTAAAAAAAACTGAAATCTTGACGCCGGTGGGAGACGAACCCGGGTCGTATGTTTGGGAGGCAAGAACTTTACCAATTAGTCATGAGCGCAAAACGTCAATTCGAAAATGATAAAAAAATCGTTTTGTTAGCTCGTTAAGCTTAATGTATTCATTTTGAATCGCTAGAAAGAGACTAAAGTTGTCTTCCACGTTCTTTTAAAACGATCCTTTCTTTGTTCAGGTAAAAGACAACCGACTACGCTGCCTTCAAGAATGCCCCATCGAGTACTTCCGCTCGGGAAATCGCTGTCTTCCCTGCCATGCGAGTTGTTACGACAACGGGTCAGTTTTTTAGGGTTTGCGGAATTGGTCTCTGCTAGCTCGCCGTTATTTTCAAAAAATACCTGCATTTTTTTTAGCTGCACCGGTCCGGTGGATATGATGGGTGACCATGGCTGTAATAACTGCTCGATCTACGTGGAAACAGAGCTTCACGGAATCAGGTGCGAGTATGCTTAAACTTCAAACATCCAGCCTTGTCCGTCCCTTTAATGCTCCGAAAATCCATTTTTCAGATGTCTCTACGTCGACCGTTCCCAAAATCACGACTCTGAAGCCTGCCAGGTCAACAACTACACCGGATTCTTTGCAGCCCCAGAGGGATCGAGAATTGTAAGTTGATCACGGCAGTACGCTAAATACGCTTTTGTATAGTTTCGTACTTTACACTACGCTAAATTACGGCATTAAACCCACCGTTTAGCACTGCAAGCGCTGCGCCCCGGAATGCAAAACATGCACAACGGGCGGGACGTCGGTCAAAGAATCCAAATGCCAGTGTCGGAATATGAGGTTTGGGGATTGTAGTCTGGTGATTACGGTATTTTTAGCATTCCGTCACTGTCCAATCCAATGGATTACGAATGTGTCAAGGATTGCGGGTAAGTGTACTTTTGGTTCGTCAAATTCCTTAAAAATCCCTGCTAGCTAGCCTACCGTAGCCTAAGACGCTCAGCGTAACCTAGTAAACCTCGATCTGGTTGCCAAATTCGACCGAAATATGTGCTAACCTGCCAATCTACCGTATTGAATTCAGATCGCAAGGCTACCCGCTAAACAACACCCACTGCGCTCGGTGTCACGTGTTTTGTGAAGGCGGCTGCAATGGACCGTCGAATCTGGAGTGCAACAAGGTGTGCTTTCTCTCTCTCTCTCTCTCTCTCTCTCTCTCTCTCTCTCTCTCTCTCTCTCGCTCTTCCATACATTTTATGAGTCCGCTTTTAGTGCAAAAACGCTACAATCACCTACGGCAATGGTACGGTGGCTTGTCTGGCTGAATGTGACGATGCGCATCCCTACTACGATTCGGTAAGTATCTAATTTAATCCGTGCTTTTGATATAAAGAAAGCTTATTACGTCTTTTTAGCATTCAAAACTGTGCCACACTCGAGAACACATCGCCTGGCTGAACGTGAGAAAGTTTCTAATCGTCGCCTCGATCCTGCTGATGATTGCGATGATCTTGGTGGGTTGAGGAAGAGGGAGAGAGAGAGAGAGAGAGAGAGAGAGAGAGAGCGGGAGGGAGAGAGAGGGAGAGAGAGTGAACGAGAGAGAGAAACAACCAGCGTATAAATCAATTTTTAGATCGTCGCCTGGAAATGTAGATACTACAAGAACAAATATGCCGTGGAGAAAATTCAGAATGGTCCAGATTTGCCGGAGGAGATTCCGTTTGGTAAGAATTTAAAATTTCGGGTTTTCATGGCAAAATAGCAGAGAATCTTGAAAAAATTTAAGGCTGAGGCTAGCAGAGAAAAGTTTGGAATTCAGGGCAGGTTAGCAGTGATTCTTTAGAGTCCGACTTACAAGGCAGGCTAGCAGAAATTCCTTAAGATTAGATGATAATGAGATTAGAGGTTAAAAGATTATTGACTTTTCTAGACCCCACCATCCGTCCGAATATGAACAAATTCCACGTGATCGGCATCGACGAGTTGACGAGGCAGGGGAGAGTGTTGGGTGAAGGGGCTTTTGGTGTGGTGTATGCGGTAAGTATGGTTTTTATTAATTATTTGTTGCTGTATTATTACGTTCTATTCCTAATAATTAAGTCATATTTTTAGGGCTACTACAAACAATACAACCGAAAATTCCCCGTCGCCATCAAGGTCATCAAGAAAGCGCAAGGGAATGCGCAAATCGAGGTAAATTTGCATTATTTAGATTTTAAAGGCATTTTTTATGGATTCTCACTTACACGTTTCCTTATAACGATAAAAACCTAAAAAAATATAGTGGGTTTTTAGGAAACGATGGACGAAGCTACAAAAATGGCTGCACTGTCCCACCCTCACCTCACGAGACTTCTTGGAATTTGTTTTGCCGACAATAGTGTGCAGGTAGGAAAGTCTGATTGATAATTGTAGCTTGTAGTTTTGATTATAGTCTGTGGTATAGTGTTAACTTGTACTTCGTAATCATAGCTTAAACTTCGAATTTTAGCTCGTAACCTGGCTCCGCCCGCTTGGCAGTCTCCTCACATTCCTGACGAAACACCGAATGAACCTAACCGGGAAGAATTTACTGATCTATTGCTATCAGATATCATCGGTATGAGATTAGATTACGATATGTTAATGGAATGGAATTGATTAGGCGATGAAATACCTCTACGAGCAACGAATTGTCCACAGGGATCTGGCGGCCAGAAATGTTTTGGTGAAATCGATCGATTATGTTGAGGTGAGAGAGACAGCAAGCTAGAATGAGAGAGAGAGAGAGTCGGTGAAAGAGTAGTGAGAGATAGAGAGAGAAGATAAGACAGAGTGAGAAATAAAGCTAGCGTTTTCCTCAAAGAATTCCTGCTAGCCACCCTGTTTAGGTGACCGACTTCGGCCTCTCGAAACTCCTTGAAATCGGCGATTCCTCGATTCACGTCAAGTCCGGCAAGGTCTGCGAAGTCCAGAAAACCGATAGATTATTTCTTTAAGGTTCCCGTCAAGTGGATGGCTCCGGAAAGCTTGATGAAGACCGTCTACACCAGTGCCAGTGATGTGTGGTCGTTTGGGATTACCTGCTGGGAGATTTTGACTTATGGACAGGTGAGAGAGGGAGAGAGAGGGAGAGAGAGAGAGTATCGTATCCTTTTTTCAGTCCCCCTACCAAGGCATGGACCACATGGCGATTATGGACTTTTTGACAGTAAAGGGACAGCGTCTGGAGCAGCCGAACAATTGCTCCGTGGATTTGTACTCGGTGTTGTTGAGATGTAAGTCGTTAGGATAACTAAGGAGCTAGCGGGGATTATTTGGGAAAAGGGAGCGAGAGAGAGAGAGAGACCGAAAGAGAGAGACTGCCATTTCAGGCTGGGTAACCGACCCAAACTCCCGACCAACATTCATCACCCTGAAAGAGGACTTCCATCGATTCTGCCGGGCACCGCATCTTTTCGTAGCTGTGCGTAAACTGAAAATAATTGAAATTTTGAGTAATACTAAATATTGCAAAAAATCTATTTAGGATGCGAACGCGGCGAAAAAGATGCTGCCGCAGTCGCAGAGCGAGATGTTGCGCGAGGTGCTTGAGACGCCAGACATCGATTTTCAGGTAGGATTTTGATAAGCTAAAATCTGTAGCCTGTCGCCAGAATTTAAAGCATCTTAGCATGAAAGTAATCTTATTAGGACCCGCTGGAATATGATGAACACGTAGCCGGGTCAATTGTCAGCGGAAGTCGGGTCTCCAGGTTGACGTCGACGAATAGTCAACGGTGGGTACTTGCTCTCTCTTTCTCTCTCTCTCCCCCTCTCTCTCTTCCTCGTAATATTCGTATTTCTAGATACCGCGGCGATCCAATGGACATGTTCCACGATGATCCACCTTCCACTCCGACGACACCACGGCCAAACGAGGTATCGAGAACTTTACTGGGCTTAAAGGCAGGCAAGCCAGCAAAGATTTTTGAGGAGGCAAGCTGGCAGAGGTTCTTCAGGAGGGCTGGCTAGCAGAGATCCTTGAGGAATTTAGAATCCCCTTCCACCCCCAATTCCCTACTTACAGCTTGAGGTGGAAGACTCGAACTACTTGGTGCCAAATGCAAGGGCAGCCCCGACCGGAGGTGGCGGGGTCATCTACACAACAGTAGTCCGGGACACCGGAGAGACGGGTACGGTAGTTGAGTCAGGGTTTAATTGTCCATGCTTTAGACCTCGTTGAGCGGCCCGACAACATCTACTACAATGACGTTATACAGGGGCCTGATTACTATAATGTGGTATGATTTTTGTGAATTTACAGTACCGTACACCGTACAGATCAGGATTGCCATAGTTCTTTTCTCGGTCAAAATTCAAGATTCTTTTTAAACGATTTTTTATTCAGAAACCCTCAAAGCCGAGCCTGTTAATTTAGACGTGGTAAATTTTGCCAAAATTTGCATATTTTCGCTGGGTTTTTTAGGCTTGACTTGGTGAGCTTGGGGCTTCGACGGCTTCTTTTTCAAGGAGAGAAGCACAGATATTCAAAATTCACATTCAGGTGGGCCAAAAACGAGCGCTTCTCACCCCTTCTACCGACGTCGAAGTGGAGGAGGATGAGAACAGCAGGCCCAAGGAGGTCGAGAGTGCTGTGTAGATTTTGGCATTTTTTTATTGTATTGGGGTTGTTTTTAACAACTTTAAAAAATTCAGTTCTTCTGTAATTATTATCAATGTTTTCCGCTCCATTCCTATGCCAAAACTTTGCGTTTCACATCGCATAATAGTCACGCTGGATCTGTTGTTGCCCCCGCTTTCCATATTCAAATCTGGTCAATTGCATATACACAAAATACTTGAAACTCGTAAGGAAATTTGTTGAGTTTAATGACGATTAACCTAAATTTTGAGCATTCCGCAATGTGTCACATTCCGTAATTTGTAATATTCCGTATTACCGTCCTTCTCCGCCGGGTAACCCCAAAAAAATCGTATTTTCAATTGGTTCTAGAAGCCATAAAGGGGCAGGAATTTGCATATTTTGTATTTGTAGCGTTTTTTCTTGTTTAGCGCTTTGAATCCATTGGTGCACTGAATTTGTTTTTTGTATATTTTTATGCTAATTACGAACTGAGTTTGAATTTTTCCTGTTGATAGCTAGATACGCGTTTGAAAATAAAGCTTTTGGGTTTAAAAAAAACGTTTTTTTTATATACAGGGTGTCCCATAAAAAAGCACCCCTCCGGCATTTCGCCGTATTACATCCCAACAGTCCCAAAATTGGAATGGAGGTGTATCAGACCTTAAATAACCACAATCCTGAGTTATAGCCCGATCGTTACAGTAGTTTTTGAGTTATCGTCAAAATACTGTTTTTACGCGGTTCTTAACAGTTTTTTTCGGCTATCTTTTTGGACTTAGCATCGATTTGCATCGACTTCCGGCTCCGAATCCCTAATTTCGCTTAATATCGGGGGTCGCTTTGCGTTACAAAAATTGTTGAAATCAACGAGTATTTCACTAATTTTTATCAGAAAAAATCTCTAGGGGTAAAGCAGGCTTGCCGCTTCATTTTCACTTAATATTCGAAGGGTCGATTTTGACGAAAACCATATGAAAAACGGATAATAAAGTTTATTTTTGTTGTATCTCGAAGATTAGAGTAGCTGGCGGGCTATAACTCAGGATTGTGGTTATTTAGGGTCTGATACACCTCTGGTCCAAATTTCGGACCGATCGGATGTAATACAGCGAAATGCCGGAGGGGTGGTGTTTTTTTTATGGGACACCCTGTATATGTACGATGCTTACAGTGTTATTTTCTTGAGATTTAAAATGTTATAATTGTCAGTTAGTAGACCCTAAAGACATTAAGAAAAAGGCCAAGATTCTTTAAAAAATTGAGGACAATCGAGCATAGCTCATTCGGGATTTTCTGATTCCAAAGATCTATGATAAATACAGCGAATTTTCGAATAATCCCCCGATTTTCAAATTTTGTCGGCGCGTCCTCGATTTCCGGGCTGGCGGGGTAGGGGCGTGAGAGGTGCACGGAGGGGAAAACAAAAAACACGTCGCGGGCCCCGCGCCGCCGCTCGCGATTTTCACGTGGGCGGAATGGGGAGGGACCGAAAAACGACGTGATGGGGGTTGATTACGCATTAATGGGTTGCTAGCTTTCTTTTTCTCAAAGAGTTTCTGCTAGCTTGCCTTCTCCTGAAGAATGCCTGCTAGCTGGCCCTCCCTAAACCAAATATTGCTAGTTTGCTTGCTCCCAAAGAATCCCTGCTAGCTTGCCTGTTCCCAAGAATCTCTGCTAGTTTGCCTGTTCCTCAAAATTCTCTGCCATCTTGGCTGTTCCCAAAGAATCCCTGCTAGCTTGCCTTTTCTTCAATAATCCCTCCTAGCTGGCCCCTTCCTAAAAACCACGTCTGGCCTACCACTTCCTCAAGAATCTCTGCTAGCCTGCCCTCCGATCCTAAATTATCTCTGCTAGCCGATTTTTTGCACAAAAGCCTTGAAATCTATGGGTTTTTCAGGACTGGTGATGACATTTGCGTGAGAGACGCCGTGTCCCTTCCCCTCCCGTCGTCCATCCCCCCCATCCATCCACTTTTCCTTCCGCCTTCCGCCCACCAACTCCACAAACCCTCCACCAGGGTCCCTTACCAGCTTTTAACCAACGCTTTCAGAATTTACCATAATTAGCGTTTAATTATTTTGATTAGGACCAGCTAGCTGGACTATCCCTTGCATTCTAATGGCCAAAAAAATGTCATTAGTTCCGAAAATCTCTTGAAAATCATAGTTTCGTCACCAATATTCATTTAAACTCTATTTAAAAACCTGGAACGCATTAATGACACCTCTAACTGCTTCTGGATAATTAATATTTCGATTTCTCCATATTTTGTGCGTTTTCGCAGGTTTGCCGAATTTCTCATTCTCATTTTTTCTTATTCTCCTCCCTTTTTCGTCGAAATTATGAGGTAATTCAAAAACCCGAGACGAAGTCCACTCGGAAATCACGGGGTTTCGAAGTTTCTGTTCGGGCCCCCTTTCGTCATTATGGGGTGGTGAACGGGGGACACCAAACAACACCTTCCCCCTTGTGACTCAACCCAAACGACCTTTCATTTCACAGACCCCCACCCGGCTGACCGACACCACCACCGTGAGCGGCAACATTTGATGAATTAGAGAACGGCACCCCGCTCTGGATTCTAACAAAAGTACGAACCTGCGCTGGATTACGGTCGCCGGACAGGGCTGTAAACAACGTTCTTCACGGGGAAATGGGTGTCCCAACATACAGAGGGATGCGAAGCGGAGATTACCGTACTTTTTCGTCCCATCCATTTCTGAATGTTGTTTTTTTCGGGTCAGTGCTGAATTTTTATTTTATTTTGTTGAATTTCGTATCTATCAAGTTTTTGCAAACTCGGGGTAATGCCTATTTCCAGCGACGGTACTGGTCAGTTACCCGGGGGCGCGGGGGTTTTTTATCTTTTTTTTTTTGACAATTTTGAAACAATTTGAGCAAAAAGTCACTGTTTTCGAAATTTTTGATGAGTTTTGAGATCCAAAACTAAGCAAAAAGCTATAGAAATGGTTTCCATTTAGTTATAGGAAGTACGAAGTTACTGAGAAAAATTAGCTCTCAGGCTAAATCCTCCCTCCCCCCGCCGCTAAAAGTCCAGTACCGCCCTGCGGCAACGTGATTTGCGTGTGTGTCTCTCACCGCTCGATTATTTGTCTCCGATTCGATCCGTCCGTCCGTCCTTTCCCATCCAAATGACGCAAAGGAGACACGCGGACCCCCGCGTGGCCATCCAGCTATCGTCTCTGTGGTTCTGTTGGTTGGTGGTGTCCATTGATTCTCTCTGTCCGTTTTCGCGGCGCCCGCCGATTTTCGCGGGGGACGTCGCAGCATCCACCCGGAACCCCCGCTCCGTCTTTTGCGCCCTTCCCTCGCTGTGGCCGTTGTGCCCTTAGGGCCCAAAAGTCTGGACGGCGGCTTGAGTGGTTGGCCGGGCATCTTTTGTTCCTTTCCGGGAAGGCAGCCCCGAGAAGCTGGGGTTGCGGCATTAGTCGGAAAATTGTGTTTTGAATTTTTTGATTTTTTTCACTCACTCTTTGTACTCTCCATGATTTATGCTCCCTCGCTTGGAAAATGTTTAAATTTGCTAGCCTAAGATTATGCCTATTTTTGAGCCGGTCCGGCTGTCACACTCCCTTTGAAATTGCACTACAGTTTCCGTTAGTCGGTATTTTGGCATATTGGCATTTCTTTTTTAGTATTGCTCGGGGATTCCACGGAAATACGCCAAATTTTGGCCATATTACCGTCAAAAAAATGCCGACATAAAAACGTCGACGAGCAAAAATACCGACAAACGAAAACTAGTTCAAAGAAAATTTGACTTCCGCCTGTTTTCTGTAGATATTACTACTTCCTGTTGGCATTTCAGCTCTTTTCCCAGTAAAGTGACTTCCGCCCATGCTAACTAGCATAGATTCTTAGGGATTTTAAAGGGAGTGAGACAGCTGCAAACCATCCTCGTAAGTCTGCAGCGTCCTTTTTTAACAAATTTCCAATCCCTGTCACGCTCCCTTTAAAATGTCTGATTCCCGGCTGGTTTTAAGCTGTTTATAGCAAGGGTTGAACCGGGTCATTCCACGAGAACCAGGTCCCAACTAGGGCACAAAACATCACCCCCATCAACCCCCATTGAACCCACTCACCAGAAACCGCTTTCCGCTTATCTGTGTTTAGTGGTTTTTGAGAGCTTGCTAGCTTTCACGGGAACCCTGAGTCACGCTCCTTAACAAATCAACGAATCTGTTCAATGTTTTTGAGAAGCAACAAGCAAGTTATGGCAAGAAAATCGACTTGGTGAGCTAGCAACTAATTTTTTGAAAAATTTTTAGAGGCGTTTAAGACCAGAAAGCAAAGAAAATTCAAAAAGCTAATCCATTTTTGTTTTTTTTTTCTAGATTTTGAGGGGGCTGTCAAGTTTTCAAAACTAGAAAAAAAAGACGCTAAATCCATCTTTCCAATTTGCACTATGATTTTAAAGCTACGGGAAGTGTAGAAAATCGGCAAAATTCTCTGTATTGCCGTTTTTTGTGGCCTTGAGATTTTTTTAGGCCGGTGAGCTTTGAAACCTGCCAAAAATTCGTTGTTTTCTGTACTATAGGATTTCTAAAGGCACTAGAAATAGAAAAAATGTACTAAGCTGTTAAAACCAGCCGGGAACGCCAGCAGCAACCCTTAGAATTTTTTACACAATTCTGACGAGGTCAAGTTATGTAAAAAAATATATATTTTGACAGAAAAATGAGGAGGCTAGCTAGGCGACCTTTCGCAAATGACCAGATCTTTGAAAACTGAAAGCAGGCTAGCATAGATCACTTAGGAACCCTAAGGAAACTTTGGTCCCCATATTCAAATAAAAACGGGTAACCCCTGCCCGTGAAATTGTGGGAATTGACGAGGCCGGGCTGGGCTGGCTGGTCGGGCTGGTCCGGGAACCAGCAGAGAGAAAAGGGCTGATCCCAGAGTGCTCGTTTCGGAATGGGGGAAAAGGCTGACGCTCACGTGGACACACACACGCTCCTATCGACGGAATAGAAGGGAGAGAGAGCGAGAGA